GATGTTAAAAAACGAGATTTTTTAATTCGATTGACTTTACTTTTGTCTGTATGTTACGCGATATTAAAATAAATAGTTAGTCAAAATATGTGGCTAGGCTACTATAGCGCAACGTATAGTCACATGGGCGTAAGGTGAAAAATGTTATTCACTGTTCATTCTTTGCCGTTATGCCATAGATCTTGTAGACGAAACGGCAGACGCACATATTTTGAGTAAGATGTAGAATTTGTGAAGTTAGATCTTGTAGAGTCAGGGCGTCAGAGGGCTGTCTTCTGGAATTTCCCAATCCAACTCTACTGGACTGCGTACCTACCATGAATTTCTTGTGGAATTGGACTCGCGCTCTGTTGAATTTTTGTCTTTCGGAAGGGATCTAACGATTTCGTCTTGTGATTTTGTCAAGACATGCATTTTGGTAACTCTTAGGTGTTTTTAGAGTTCCGAAGGTCTTTTTAATTTCATTCCAAAGTTATTAAAGCACCTGTATAACGTTGACGGGTCTGCAGATGTTGTTGGCCAAACGGCCAGTTCAGACGTGATGTTACTTAGCTTTTGGTCTACCTTGTCAATGTCTTTTACGAAGTCATCGACTATTGCGTTCATAGATGGAGTACGACCTTTGTATCTCTATCTTTCTTCCAAGGAATTTAAAGAGCACGATTTCTGATATTATTGAAACATTTTCCCCACCAATAGTAATCCCGGGGTCATATCTGGTACCTCACCGGCCCAAACTAAGACAACAGCATTTTCTAGGTTTTGTACTCATTCCCTCCGTTCAGGTACAGAAGTCATTCACCTTACGCAGTAGTTCTTGGCAATGCTTCGAGTTACGTGTGAGGATCGTGAGGTCGTCTGCGAATGCTAAGATGGATTTCGTATATTTTCCATTGACCTCAACTGCTTACTAAAGTAAACTAAGCGCTGAAGTTTTTTTTTCAATTAAATATTAATTCTTGAGACCAAAGTCAGTCTTTCAAATTTAAACGCAGTAAGTTCTTTGTTTTCTTTCATCGCCTAAGTCTTTCAGACTTGACTTAAACTTGAGTTTCAAAGATCTTTAAAATAGTAATACTTAGTTCATTCAATAAGAAAACTTTTGCAATTGTCAATTAATTTGCTTCACAAATTAAGATGCGTAAGATTGCATGACAAGTGATCGTGCAGATCTACGGTAATAGCTCAAGTAACGTAACAGCGGTCAAGTGTGATTTGTAATAGACGTAATTTCGTAGTCTCGACTTCTCTAATGACTGGTATCAACATAGAATGTTCTCATAGATATATACAATAAACCTTGAAAACTTTAGGGTCTATTTAAGATATACAATCTAAATTAGAAATATAATAATAGCTAGAACAACCGTTTTCAACCTTTTCACATTGTCTAAATTAAACAGTTTTGATATAGAACAGAGGCCTTGGTTTGTTACAGATTTAATGGGACACGTGTATTATCTTGTTTTACATTTTGTTACACTGGTACTTTTACTTTGAGAACACGGAACAGTATTACGATTAGTACATGTATGTACTTAACATACGTACACACCAGCGCTCTGCCAATTGCTGCAATTTGTAAATTCCTCATAGCTTTTTTCACATCATTCGTTTTTTTAAACCAGGCAGCTGGTTTCGAGTATGTCTGGCCTATTTACACACTGCCTGTAATTGGTTGTGGGCTCCCATTTCTGCATTTACAAAATGCGGACTGCGTAATCGCAAATTAGGCGGTGCCTGTGATTTGGCAATGAGATTGCTGAGAAAAATTACTCACTGACACCAAGATCTATCAGTTCGACTTCTAACATTCTTCTTGCGTTAAATTACTGTTTATGAAAAAACAATATTACAGTCTAAATAACATCACGGTGTGACCTATAGGATCACAGCACTGACCATAAACGCGGAACTTAGAGGAACGGTAAACAAACATTTTGCAATGAATTTGCTAGCTATTGAATATCATACATTTACATACACATAAAACAAACATAGTGTGTACAAATAAAATCATGGAACAACATTTACATATATGCTTGATTGATTCGCCTTTGTATTTTACTAAAAATATTTACTAAAAATAAACACATTAGTTTATAAAAACAAAGTTTAACATCAGTCTAGTCATTTAACCTTTAAGTTAATTTATTAAAAGCAAACTCATGTAGCCGAATTGATTTTAAAACTGAGAGATTAATCACTTTATGGGTAAAGTGATTTTTTATTTATCTTGATTAGTTTGATACCAAAAAGACAATTTGTAAATTAATATCGGGGAGCGATGGTGAATATATATGTTTGTTTTTACAACTTTAAAACGATGTAACTCCATTATGAAACGGTTTAATTTTTTACAGTATTATCAAAACTATTTTAATATTCGTTTAACTAAATTGTAAAGTATTTGATTTTTAAAAGAAAAGTACAGAGTTACCACCGTTTGTGTGGATTAACGTGCAAGGTCAGAGCTGATTGGTGCGATACCTTCTCAGTATAAGTATAATAATCCGTTTCCCGTATATGTTTCTACGTTTATTTAATTTAACGTGAAAGTTAACCCCGACCACCTGTAAGGTAAATAATTTATAGAAGCATAAAATTTTATTTCGAGCAAATCTGCTCCTATTCGTACATGTATTATCTATACCATTGTTAAAAAAAATGATAATAACAGTATTCTATATTAATACCAGTCATTAGAGAAGTCAGGACTACGAAATTACGTCTATTACAAATCACACTTGACCTCTGTTACGTTACTTAAGCTATTACCATAGATTTGCACGATCACTTGTCATGCAATCTTACGCATCTTAATTTGTAAAGCAAATTAATTGTCAATTGTAAAAGTTTTTCTTAATGAATTAACTAAGTAATACTAATTTAAAGATCTTTGAAACTCAATTTTAAGTCAAGTCTGAAAGACATACGTAGCAACATCACCTACTCTACTACCCTTGTTAAGCAGATTCTATAATTTTTCTCGTACATTATATTCACGATAATCCAACAAATAGAATATTAATAGAAATAAATATAGTATTTTCACAATGAATCTGTGGAACGGGTTATCGTCTGCGGTATTTCCGGACCGAAACGACCTTCAAACCTTCAAGAAAAGAGCGTTCCTAAAAGGCCGGCAACGCGTTTGTGACTCCAGAGTTGCAGATGTTCATGGGCGGCGATGGTCACTTTCCATCAGATGACCCGTGTGCTCTTCTGCCCCCTCTAACATAAAAAAGATAGGTACTATGTGTAACTATCACTTTTTTATATTTATACTACTTTGATTTCCTCTTTTTTTATCTATTCTCTAATACACCAGCCACTACCCTAAACCTCCAGGCTACGGATGCCTGAAAGAGATTGCCTCTGAGCGATAAGGACGCTATTTCTACTTATGTAACCTAGTTTAAGTTAATTAATTCTTGTATATTTATACCTGGTGTACAATAAAGCGATATATTATTAGGATATAGTGTCATTAAACAATTTCTACAATTATTAACAAAAAACCAAAACATCCTGTACTTAATGACTAATGGTTGAAATTTAACTGCAATGCGATTGTTAGTTTCTACAAAAATCTTTATTTTACAAAGTAGATGGTTAAAATGATTCGTGTGCACGTTATACCTCAAGTTTGCTCAACAAAGTTTGCAGATCCCCGTCTTCCTTAGTACCATTATATAACAATACAAAAGTAATTAGTGAAACTTGGTTAATGATGATATTTTACATAAAATGTAAAGTAAATTGATTAAAGGAATTATAAGTTGAATTACATGAAGATTAAATTATTTGCAGGATGAATTTTGTCTGTTTGTAGATGGTGAATTGAATTGATAGTGTAGATATTGTAAAATATGGTAATGTTATTGGGATAGTTAAGAATAATTTGTCGACAGACTTAAATAAGTATTCATTTTACATCTTCATGCACTTATGTATGTACATCGGCGGACTTAATGCCCTGGGCATTCTCTACCAGGTCAACCTTTAGGTGGTGTAGAAGTACTAGCTGACCATGAGGGATGATGGCTTTAGTAGAAGCTGGCCCGGATTGACTAACAGATCTCTTTGATTTTAACCATCGCTATGTATCACGAACTATTTATATTTTTAGGATCCATAATAAGGAACTAGACTAAACCATTGAAAATACTTTTGGCCTAATAAGCTGGTCAAAGTATTATTAGATATTTGTATTTACATTTTAATCAGTTAAAGGTGTACTTTGAATGACGCTATTAGTTATTTAGTTGTTAAAGTACTTATGACTAAGATAATCGGTTCGAACTAATTTTTACTTTGTTACTTTTAATCGATTAAGAGTTTTGATTGTAACATATATTAATTAATAAAATAATGACGGGTTAGATGCATTTTTATCTCAAGAAGATCTGGGAATTTTTTTATGAGGTATTGACTTCGCTGAAATTCATGGTATGAAACCCAACGCAGCTGTGACTCAAAACGCAGGTGAAATCACGGCGAACCATTTGTGTATAAATAAATATATGTGTTTTATAAAGTTTGAAAGGTGTACAGATATTGTTAGTCTCTGTACATATTATATGACCCGTCGCTACCTACAATTCTAGCATACAAATCCGCGGCCTTGGTACAAATATCCGTGGGATATGCAAATATTATTACAACGGGTCCTTTTGATTTGTCTATTGGATCAGAAGGTAGGCGCTTTGAAGGTATACATTTAATTACAAAAGTTTTAAATTATTAGAGAATTAAAGAGAAAATTTACACAATAAAAGCAAAAAAACTTAGAAGTAGAAATAAAAACTAATGTTTTTCTAACCTTCCGTTCGGGTTTTCTACTAAAACATGTTTTATTTAGGTTGCCGCCGCACATTATTTGCTAATACGATTTGTATAATTATCTATGTACGTATAAAATGTATATTATATATTAAAAGAATTTCATAAGACTGAATTAAGTTTGTAAAGAATAAATAAGGTAATTAGGTACTTACCAATTAAACTCGTCCAATGATGTCTGGATAACATTTTGTAAGTTATATTTCCAGGTAAGTCTGTAACAACGAATATAATAGGTTAAAACATACCCACACGAACTTATTATCCACACAAGAAGTACATAAAAAAAAAAATGCAATAACTACCTTCGTACAAGGACTCAAAAGTTTAACTCACATGCACGCACACATGAATGCATCACACGTACTAATACAATAAATCGGCATACCTACCATTTATATGTGTTAGTAGTATGTATATTGTAAACGTATTTAGTAGGTTTATGTTTATATATATTAAGTATCTAGAGTATTATAAAGGAGGGGGTCGTCTACTCGTCTGTAGATGACGCGAGGTATGTCGGGGCACCAGGGACTTCCTTTGTAGGGTATACCTGGTTCCCCGGCTATTAGTACCCGAGACGGCGTGCGGTTTTAGTCGGTTCGAGTCCGACATGCCACCGACAGGTGGTATCCGAGGGGATTTCCGCACGGAAAAAAAAGAGTATTATAAAGTACACCACAGACTACCCTAAATTAGATTTTACAATATCTGTGTATAGGTTGTCCGTAAGAGATCGCCGTGAGCGATAGGACCGCCTATTGTAATTCCAAAATGTAGATGTTCATTCAAGTCTGTACAATATATACTGTAGCGGTGTACATTAAAGATGTCCAGAACGTCGAACAGAACTGAACAAGAACAGAGATCCAGCACTGTAACTGCTAATCCATGGTTGCTCACCTGTCTAGGAGTGCAGTTGCAGTGCAACACTCAACCCAAAGATTTTGTTGTCATGTTGTGTTGTTTTTTAATTATTGTCCTAACTGCAGGGCAGTGCATCCCTCTAAATATGCATGTCTATCTATCAATCTATCAAGATCAATAATAAAAATCAAATCAAGATACATTGTAAGTTATCAGTAAAGTTAAAATCATAATTGTATCCAGTTCTGTGAACCATAAAAAGGAAAATTTGTATACTGTACGACTGTATAAACTGGGTCTAAAAATCGATTTCAGTGACTTTTTCTAATATTCTAATATAATTACAATAGCTTTTATACTCAGCGTATCTAAACTTTTATACAGAAAAAAAAACATGTGTCTGATGTCATGATTCAGACAGATATCTAATATTATTATTTCTGCTGTTTTTACTTTAAAGAATTAGGTACACACATCTACATCGAAACTAGGGGGAGCAATGCTTCCTCTATTTCCTCTAGAAGGGGGAAGGCACTCAAAGGTAATGGTAACACACTTGTCACTACTACTACTGACTACTACTTCATGTTGTCCTCTTCAAGTGGTTCAAGTAATATTTGGCTCCAGTATCTAAGAAGTTGTACATATGATCCTTGTGCATATGCGCGGAGGGGGATAGCGCTGCCTTATCGTCATCATATATTCCTGCCCTCTCAGCAGCCTTTTCGATAGCAGTATTCTCTCCGCGAAGACCCAAAATTACAGCGGCGGTGCCTTTCTTTATCCACTCGAACGCTTTACTCTACAAGCTGTCGTCACTGCCTGGTGGCATGTTGCTGACGAGGATTTTCGCCAGTTCATCAATGTTTATCTGGATGCGGATAAAACAACGGACGCACGCGGTTCGTCACTTGGCAACCAGTTTTCATCACACCCATGGGTATCGAACATGTAGTAGTTGCCATCTTCCATATAGCAACAGAGTTACCCCTCGCCGTGAACACACCCTGAGATTATTCCTTTTAGAAACACTTAAACGACGGCAGCCATTTGTTATTTACTTAATACACATACTCTTATACAATTAAAAAAACACCAAATAGTAATACATTACATTTAATAATCATGTTCATATATGTATAAAACTTCTTCGTAAAGTTCGTATCATTACGAAAGTTATTAACACAACAAAAAGCTGAGGTTCATAACATAAAATCGATATTTCATTCTACTTCATCGATTAATCCTTATGAAAGCTCAAAGCTATTATTATAATGGCGCCAGCCACAACCACCATTAATCAAAATGTGAAAATGGATAATTATTCGTACTACAGATCGTCTAGTAGTCGAATTGCCACCGCAATTCATTCATTCTCTCCAGTCAGTTTACATTTTTGTTTGTTATTAGTATGGTATTCCTTCGTTCCGTACTAAAACATTAATTAGTATATATTACTAGCTTGATTTAGTGGATTACATTTCATAATTTTTAAATACATTACAATTTTAAATACAACTGTTATACATATTATTTAAAAATAAAACCTGTTTTCCTTTCTTTTATTGTATGAACTAAGAACATTCCAAATTAATTGCCTCTTCGTTGGCGAAATTGACTAAATATGCATGCGTATTATTGTCCTTATGTATTAATGTAGATAAAAAATATTTTTCTTAACGTGATTATGTATGGATGGTCCTAACTAATATATGATTTTATATAACACATGATTATCCCTTATTTTATACTATATTAAATCTACTATCTCTACACATGCTCAACATTTTGGTATTATTTTAAGTAGCCTAAATCAGAACTTAAAAAAAATACAAAGACAGTTTAATCAATGCAAGTAAATTAGTGTCTACTAAATTTCAATGGCTATTTCCACTTTTCAGATTTCTTTTGTGGGAGATGTAAACATTGCATATACATATTACCATATAGTTTATAAGTAATTAAGTAATTGGCCTTCTTTTGAAATTGATTAGAAACAATTCCCACGTACGTAAACGACACTTTTAAATTCAACAATTAAAATTTTAAAGATGAGATTTTTTAGGAGTTTACGGTCAATTTTAATAATACATTGTAAATAATAGTGATGTTTTATTTTATTTTTTATTTTATTTTATTTATCGACAATCAAGAACATAAACATTAAAAGCAAGAGATATAACGGCAATGGTATACAAGCATAAGTGCTGCCTAAATTACGGGTTGCCACGGCAAGCATAATAATAAAAGAGAGTTTGGAACGTAAGGCTTCCCCTAACTTAAAAAAAAACTTGAGCAGAATTAGAAATTATATTAGGCGTTAATAGAAATCCTTTTTTATTTTTCTCTGGTGAAGATGTTTATTTTCTGGAGACGGATTCTCCGTGACGTAGATAGGGCTAACCCTAGTAGAAGATATACCAAGATGTCCAGTATTAAGTTTGTTTTCAGGTTTTTTGTAAACTCAATAGCAGCCGCGAGAAAACAGTGTCGGGTTCGTCGTGGTAAGTTGAATTTGATTAAAATTGAACTAGTTCTAGAGTTGTCAGATTGTAGATGGCCAGTGTGAGGGTAATAGACAATGTCCTTCTCATTCACGTCGTAATTAATCGTTTGCCTTCTTGTACTATAGTTAATAAGTTTTCGGCTTTGCGTTCGAGAACGCTTTGTATTTGCAAATTGGACGAGCGGGATCAAAGTATTAACACGTAATTTTAATGCTTTCAGGACCTCATTTTCCTTTTTTAAATCAAAATATCTGTATTTGTAGCTGTTAGGTCTTTCTTGAAGCTGTCAAAGTCCAAGGGATTTATAATTATTTGAAGTCGTTCAATATTTCAGTAATTTGCACTTTAATATTAAAGTATTTTTAAAATGAATCATACATTCGGCCATAAGATCTTCCATTACCCTCGCAGCTCATCGCGAATAATCTCTCGAATATTTTGCACGCCCGTATCGTAGGTAGACGATAAATGTTGATTCTAGTCGCTGTCGGGCCATGCAAATTACGTCGCGTACTTATAAGAGTCATATCAGCCATTCCCATAAGCGTAGATGGCTGCACTGATTTACTCGAGTTATCATTTTTTGTTGTTTAGTTTGACATATAGGGCATAGCCAGTTCCGTTTAAAATCTCGAGGTGCATTAGAGATGAAATTTACCGAAGCATTGATGACACTATAAAATAGTCGTCGGTAATCGTATCAGAACATTATCATTATGGTTATGATTATATTGTGCACTCGTGTCACGAACCCCGTGCGCTAGGAGTGAGCAATTTATTGATGTTGTTCCTTACAGCAGCTGTGAGGTGCTCCCCCTAATAATAATTACTAATATTTTTACTCAAGTCACTGCACTCAATATTCACTAATAATTGTTTGATATGTATAGGTAATAGGATCAGTATTTGACTGTACAGACATTATGTATCGAAACTTTATAGCAAAAACGTTTTCCGAGAACCCTAACCGGTACTGAGTAAAATTGGAACTAGAAAATACTCATACATTTTATTCAAACATTGTTGACAGAGCGACGAGACGTTTGCATTAGTTCCGCTGCAGTGTTTCAATATATTCGAGTCAGTCACAGGAAAGGTGATGTGTATAAATATTTGTATATTAGGTACTTCTTTTCCTACATTTATTAACAAAAGTTTTACTATTATTTTTGTTTTACTTATTTCTTGAATTTTCCACTATACAACGTTTCTAGAGCAGTTTTATTTGCCAGAGGTTGTTATTATATAACTCATACATTTGATAAATAAGAAAGCTCTACTGCATTTCTGATATGGAATTTTAGTGAATAGTTTATGGAAATTACTGTATAATTCATAAATCCATACTAATATTATAAATACGAAAGTGTGACTGTCTGTCTGTCTGTTACCTTTTCACGATTAAACTTCTGAACCGTTGCAAGATTTGCTTATATGAAATTTGGTGTGGAGATAGTTTGGTTTTTGAAGAAGGACATAGGCTACTTTTTATTATTAGCCGCAAGCAATAGCTAGTATATATTCATAAACTCAAGAATGTATGCCCGTAGGTGTAGGCGTATCATACAAACCACTTTGCCAACTATAATTTAGTCTCACTCAATTGATAAGAGGGAAGCATATTATTACTCTCCATCGGTACAGTACATATTGGGAAATAAATATTGAAAAACTTCAATTATATTAAAAGAAAAGCTAGCAGAATACAGGTATGTATATGGATAGATTGATGCAATACCTTACGCTCCCAAATCTATGTTAAGCTATTGTCAATTGCTATTGCCAATTAATATTTTGGGACTAATCCCGCCCACATGCCCACCACTGTAACTCCTGTACAC